TTCGGGCCTAGACCCTTCTTCAGAAATCTGAAGAAGGGTCTAGGCCCGAAACGTCAGTTTTCCTGCTTCTCTGATGCTGCTTGGCCTGCTGTGTTCATCCAGCTCTACACCTTGTTATCTCAGATTCTCCAGCATCTGCAGTTCCTACTATCTCTGCTAAAATATTAAGATTGCTTTTCCAGTGTGGGAGAATCTGCTGTGGCCTCTCATTCATTCTTCAAAACTCTCTGCAACTAGTCCCATTTTCTCCTTACATGTCCCAGCATAAATCCAGCAAGTTGGCTGCCTCTCACCTTGATCAAACACCAAACTCTATCTAAATATATGATACACTTCATTCCAACTCCCATCTTGTTTATCCTATTTGTTTATTGGCAGCCACCATCATTACAACCATGAGGATTTCTGTAACCAGTTCTGTTCAAAGACTGCTCATTATCTTTACTTAATTATCTAAGCTATTTAAACCGTGGTCTCCAAGTGCATTTTTATGTCCATTGGACTGGGACTGCGAGATCGCCATTGGGCACTATCTGAGTGTCTTCGCTTCTTTCTGATTGCATTTTGATGCAGGAGTTACTTTTGAACTTACACTCTGCTTTCTTCTTCCCAACCCTACTCTGCAACCTATTAAATCACTTCATGGTGAACAGTCAACCAATGTTTAGACTTGTAACTTTTCCTGCATGTCCTGCAATAGTCACCTTCCTTGATTCACTAAACCTCTCAAAACTGTCATCCACTCTGGGCAGTTGATCTTTAGATGTCTTGTGTGTCAGCATTGTCACCAGAATACTACCCACAGTAGCACTGCACTGTCATAGGGAGTGCTGAACACTCAAAGGGGCAGTGCCAAGGGAATGCCACGCTATTTTGGAGGGATAGTGCTGAGGCAACGCTGCACATGGCCTAGTAGTATTATTGCTAGAGTGTTAATCCAAAGACCCAAGTAATGTTCTGGGGACCTGGGTTCGAGTCCCATCAAGGCAGATGATGAAATTTGACTGCAATAAAAATCTGGAATTAAGAGTCAAATGATAACCATGAAACCATTGTCAATTACTGGAAAAAACCTATTTGCTTCACTAATGACATTTAGGGAAAGGAACTGCTATCCTAGTCTGGTCTACACTCCAGTGGCAAAGTGGTTGGATCTTAACTGCCCTTAGGCAATTAGGAATGGTATAAATGCTCACCCAGCCAGTGATGGCTACATCCCATGAATAAATTAAAAAAGAGCCACAGAGGATAGTGCCAAGGGAATGGGGTGCTGTCAGAGAGACAATGCTGAGGAACTGCTGCACAGGGGGCAGTGCCAAGGGAATGCTGTGCTATCAGATGGACAGTGTAATGGGAGCACCGCATTGTTAGAGGGACAGCACCGAGGGTGTGCCACTTTGTCAGAGGGGAGCACCAATGTTGTGGCACTTTGTTTGAGGAATAGGGTTGAGGGATTGCTGTACTGTCAGAGAGGCAGTGCTGAGAAAGCACACCACTGTTAGAGGGACAGTATTCCAGCTGTGGTCTGTCTAGTGCCTTGTACAGTTTCAGCAAAACCTCCCAACTTTATA